TGTTCATGTGTAGTATATGAAATCTGACAAGATTATGGTTCTTGGCTTTAGGATAATGAATTTATGTTATTTGATTCATTAAGGCCCTAAGGTCTAAAAAAAAGTAAAATAAATCAATCCTAGGCCTTTGTGGCACACTGAAAAAAATAGTGTTACTAAAATAATAGGTGAAAGATTTTTTACAAATGTAATAAAATATTCAAAACAAATTTTATACATATTTCCTATTTTCATCAATCCAATCTAAGGGATGGTGAACACACAAATACAATATACGGACGATGGATTATAGAATTGTACACCTGAAATCTATATAATTTTATTTACTAATGTCACCCCAATAAATTCAATAAAAAGAAAAAATATATAAATTTAAAAAAAAGTATTCAGTTAAAAAATCAAAAACATCTAAAGGCAGGGAATCAAACTTATATGTTTCTTAATGTACATGACTTTACTATAGGCGCATGTATATTAAAGTTTGCTTTGAGTGCAAATGCTGTTGAAAAAATTGAGAAATAAAGCAAAGGAAAAAAGTTTAAATATTGCTGTTACACAATTCCTAGAAAATCATCCTTGTCTACTTCATAGTTATGTATGAAGGGAATTTGTCTTTGATTGAGGTTTCAGAAGTCATTGACCCCAAAAAACTTTTTTCTGGTAATTTATAGAAAACCAGCTGCATTTTTTGGGGGGAAAACTGCCTTGATTTTCCTGTAACCCTTTTGGGAGCAGTTTGTAAACCTCATCTAATTCTTCCATGTTTTGCCATGTATGAGGCACACCCACAATTTTGGCCTACACTTTCAGGAAAAAGATCTTTGGTTTTAACTTTTTAATTCAATTATTTATTTAGTTCTATTTAGATACTTGCTTTTTGTCTTATAAAGGAATTTCAGCGTTTACTTTTGAACATATATGGTGCAAGAAATTTTATGTAACAAATAATTTAAAAATACAAGCACAGATACAAACTATTTCAGGCACTACCTATGTATAATGCACATCCTTATTTTTCCCTCATTTGGGCAAAAGTGCACATTATGCATGGCAAAATACGATATGTGTTTGACTCTCAGATATGTCACTTCACCCCAGTTTCTGTCACTGATTATTTTATTCAGGCTATTTCATGTAGATATTTAACCTAAAATTTTAATTCTAAGAGCATCTGTTGCTTTCTTCCCAAACCTTTTAACCACCCTATTGCTCACTGTTACTGTAAGAGACACAGCTTATGTTGTTGCATGTTCTTAACACCATAGCTTTAAAGATTTTGTACAGCAGTCCCCACTGACTATGAGGGATATGTTCCAAGACCTCCAGTAGATGCTCAAAACCAAGGATAGTACCAAACACTACATATACTGTTTTTTTCTTATACGTACGTACCTATAATAAAGTTGAATTTATAAATTAGGCACAGTAGATTAACAATAATAACTAATAATAAAATATAACAACTATATTTGTACTGGAATAAAAGTTTGTGACTGTGGATTTTCTCTCTCAAAATCCTGTTGTGCTATCCTCATCCTTATCTTGTGGTGATGTGAGATGATACAATAATGAGATGAAGTGAGGTGAATGAAGTAGGCACTGTGACACTGGTTAGGCTACTTTTGACCTCCTGACAAAACATCAAAAGGAGGATCACCTGCTCCGGGTGACCCTGGATCATGGAGCCATGCCAGGTGACTGTGGTAACAGAAATTGCAGAAAGCAAAACCACAGAAAAAGGAGGGGCTCTTGCACTTCTCATTAATAATTCTAAATTAATAGTTTCCTTAAAGGTTACGTCAAAACTGTCTTGTTACAAGTTATTATTTTCAGTATTAATTGAACTGAAACAAAATATTACTTCAAAGAAAAAAAGTTAAGACTTTTATGACCACATTTTTCCAGTATTACTCCTATCATTATCTATTTAATAATAGCCATGCATGTACTCCATAATTTTGCAGGCATCGCCTGTGCCAAAATTCACAGTGAAATTGAGAAAAGCTATTTAACGACTCTTCTGCAAGGTATGCCAGGATATTGCTTCATAGTTTTCTAAATTAAAACAGTAGTTTTAAATTAGTAAAGAGATATAGTGAAAGACAATAGGGACACACTGAAAATTAATTTTTAGGGTTGCTAAAGCCTTTGAGAGCCATTGGATAAGTGTCGTCCTTTGGCTCACTCAGCAGTCAGCACTGGTAGAATAGCATATGATTGAGTATCAGTAGTCCTGTATTCTAAATCCATTTTAACCTAGACAAGTGGAATTATTTGATGAACTGAGGTTACTTTTCCTTCAAATCTGTTTTCCCATCTGTTAAAGTGGTAACAGAATTTAATGTAATTTGGAAGTTGAATGATAAGGATTTTAAATTTCTCTGCATTAGGTACCATATATATTCCACAAATCATGTATGTTGAGCAAAAAGTGTACCTCCTTGTTTGTGAGAAAAATGGGAATAAGCTTTAGTTAGGGGCTTTTGTTTGCAATGGGAGAATCAGTATTCTTGAGGGAATCCACCAGGTAGTCTGCTGCCTAGTAATTCCAGAAGACTTACCTAAGTGGGCGTTGCAGCTTGTTGCTGTCATGCGCCCCATCTCCCTGTTTCCTAATCCCCTCTCCCTGTAAAATACAAGTACGTGCATAAGGTCATCAAAGACTCTCAACATAAGCCTCTGCCCTTTCTCCATCTCTTTCTCTTCTTCTCATCTCTCTGTGTTGTCTCTTTTTTCTTTTTTAATTCGCTGGGTCTTAATGTTATTAAGCAGCAGGTCGTGAAGAAAGCGTTGCCCTCTCTGATTTATGGTTGTCATATCTGAACATTGAATTACAGATAATACTTAGAGCAAGAAACAGTGGATACTTAAAGAAAGGAGTTTCCATTCTGAGAAAGCCATGCTAAATTCTTTATTCTCACAGTTCACCATTCTTATGTTTTTTTCCACCTGAAAAGTAATTTTATTTTAGTTTAACTTTTAACTTGTCAGTTGCTTCTTTTCTTGAACAGCTTTAGCTTCTGTTTGATACTTAGCTACACTCATATTGGAAACTTATTAAAAGCTACTTAGAGATTCCACTTGGAAGTTTTAACCATACAACTAAGATGTTTTGAATAAAAGCCTATCCATATATATGCCAAATAAACTTTAGGAACTCTTATTACCTCTTATTTTACAGAAATTCACTCTCTATCCTGATGTCGATTGATTAAGGGCCAGAAAGCTAACTTCCTTAAATGAGGCAAAATTTTAAAAGTTTTCAATCTACCACTGTAAATAAGAATCTTTCTTTCAAATACAAAACCAATTCACCATTCTTTTATGTGGCAAGATCACATCTGTAGAAACATTTTTGTGTTATATTTTTTGTTATATTATTTGGTAATGAATCTCATTGTTTTCTTTGTGCCTTAGGTTTGTAGTAATTGCTACTGAGACCATGTGAAGATACATTAAGCTTTTTTGCTTAATATGTTATGAGTGTTTCCTCTGTATGAACTGAGGAAACCAACTAAAGGGAGACTGGCTTCTGAGGGCAGCAGTTTATTGGATATTTGCAAAGAGATGATTGTAGTTCTGTTTCCATATCTAACATGTGTCTATCACAATATATCTTTAAATTTAGTTTCTAAATTATACAAAATGTCTGTCTTATAAATGTAAAACAGTTTTATTTTCTAGAAACTCAGAATATAATTTTGAGCTCTCAGTGTATCAGGATTATGCATTAAATATTCAGTTCAGTATGTGAACAAAAGTAGAGAATGAGTCAACTTTTATTCTGGAGAATATACCTTCTCGATAAGATTATTTTTCCCACCAAAGAGTGAAAATGTGAATAAGTTATTGGATAATGCCCAAGGCAGGAACATTAAATAAACTTGAATATAATAAATTAAAATTTATAATTTAATTTATATTAACTATTCACTCATCTCTATAGATATGATTTATTAATTTCTATAAAATTTGAAGGTCACTAAAACTTAAATAGATACTCATTTAAAAATATGAAGGACAATAAAATTTAATATATTCAATGTATAATACCGTCGATTAGTAAAAAATTGTTGTAATGATAAAAATTTAGTTTGCTTAATTTTAATTGAAAATATATAAAATACCCAGTGATAGTTAATAGTTCAAGGTTACTTGATTTAATAACAAACAAGATATAATTGGGTAAAAACAACCTCCCTAGGCGGTGACAGAGATGTTCTCTGTATCTATCTCTCTCTGTTTGTTGCTGAGAGCAGTGGCTGTGTTAGTGTGACTAGACCCTAAGTCTCAGCAGAGGAGAAACAGCTCTCGTCTGTTGCCTGTTTCCAGTTGATGGCTTTCTCCTTAGTTCCGGTGGAATAGCTTTCTCCTATTTATGGGATTTCATTATTTTTATTAACAAGGAAGTTCACTTAGTGGAAAGCAACTTGCCTTTTAAGTTAAATTGGTTGAAATTATATTTTGAAATTTGCTGAAAATTTGAAGGAATACATTTCTATTATTTTTCAGATGAAATTTTTTACACCATTATTTCCAGTAGGTGATTAAAATTATTTATATATTTTTCACTTTAAATCACATTAACACTTAAAGTTACAGCTCTATTTGATGAAGAAATGAAGAAGTTACATAACTTCTAAGTGTGTTACTGCAGTTCAACACACAAGTTAATTGTGTAAAATCAAAGTTACCCTTAATTAAATATCTTAAAATTTTTGTCTAAATAAATTATGCTTGTGTTGAGTTTTGGGCTATGGACTCTGAACTGATGCCAACTGTAGGTACAAGTTTGCGGTATAACTTGGTTTTTATTATTTTTGTCTTAAAATGTAATATTATGACTTGGGTTGATACATACTAAAACAAAAATTTAATCATAAAGAACTTGTTTTTCAAAAATCATATTTCATATATTATCCTTTGCCAAATATTACTAAAGTTTTTAAAAGTTCTGTTTGCTCTCATGTTTCTATTTTCACTTTCTTTTGCATACCCAGCTTGTGGCCGGGGGTTCTACAAATCTTCCTCTCAAGATCTTCAGTGCTCTCGTTGCCCAACACACAGTTTTTCTGATAAAGAAGGCTCTTCAAGATGTGACTGTGAGGATGGATATTATAGGGCTCCATCTGACCCACCATATGTTGCATGCACAAGTAAGTCCATAATAGTAAAGTTAAAAAAGACTTTCAGACCACTCCTTCTCATTTGTACTATTGTGACATCGTTGAGATAGGCATACAATTGGTGAATACAGTCTTAGTTATTATTAATTATGTAGAATTTAGCCTCTAAGGCTAAACAATAATGTAAAATACATTTTACTTCAACGTCAATGTAATTTTTATGTCTGTGAAATCAAGATTAGTTTTAGTATTTTTCACATGTATTTTATAGGAATCATAAAACAGAAAAATTATTTGAGTCTTACATGTGTATGAAATGCGATTAAAAAGTAATGGCTTCTGAATTAAAATTCCATTACTAAATAGAGCAAATCTCACATCTTGGTGCTTCAATTAATGAATGTTTGAGAGACCCAAATCCAAACCAAATTCCAGACAGTCTTATAAATCATTCTTAAGCACATTAAAATGAATAGATGTAGTCTCTGTTTTATGGTTAAAAGGAAAACTATTTTTTAAACAACTGCACAACTGTTTTTTGTTGTTTTTTTTAAAGAAAATTAACTTCTTTTTTAATTGCTTGGAAGTAAAGTAGCTAAAGACCATGGCAAAAGTACAAAGACAGTTGTTATCCTGTTTTCATTTTGACATATTAAATGGAAAATAAATAAAGCCTCTTGCCAAGTGAATTCAAGGAGGCTTTTATATGGCTTCTCTAGGAAAGGTAATGAAATGTTTATGTGAAAGAAAGCATTTCAGCTAGTTTTCTATATGGTAATTGAGCCACTAGCTTCATGCTGACATGGTCCTTTTGTTCATTTTGTTTGCCTTTTTTCTATTCTTGTTTATTTGTTTATTTATTTTTGGTTTCCCAAGGGCCTCCATCTGCACCACAGAACCTCATTTTCAACATCAACCAGACCACAGTAAGTTTGGAATGGAGTCCTCCTGCGGACAACGGAGGAAGAAACGATGTGACCTACAGAATACTGTGTAAGCGGTGCAGTTGGGAGCAGGGGGAATGTGTTCCCTGTGGGAGTAACATTGGATACATGCCCCAGCAGACTGGATTAGAGGATAACTTTGTCACTGTCATGGACCTGCTAGCCCACGCTAATTATACTTTTGAAGTTGAAGCTGTAAATGGAGTTTCTGACTTAAGCCGATCCCAGAGGCTCTTTGCAGCTGTCAGTATCACCACTGGTCAAGCAGGTATGTTTTTTTGTTTGCCTTTACTAAGTGAATAATGTCTCCACATAAGTGAGGTGTCTCGCTTGAATATTTAGTTAACTTGGCTACACAGAACTCAATTATTCCAGCTTGTTGATTATTCACACCTTTAACTTTTCTTTGTTATTTCTCCTGTTGCCTGTTAAACCATTACTAGACTCATTAATATCACCTCCAGAGATCTGGCAGGAGAAATAAAAGGGATAAATTGTAAACCGGTTAAGACTGCTCTAAGACAAGAAAGTCTGTTGAAAGATCTAGAGGAGGAGAGTGTTCGTATTGGATAAAATGAAATGAAGACTATTTCTTGCATTTTTACCTTTTTGTGTGCCCTGCGCTCATGATCAAAATGTACATGATAATTAGGAATAATGAAAGAGTTGGCTGCACTGTCTGTCTCACATAGTGTTAACCCATTTTTTACCAGATAGAATGTGATATTTATAATAAAACAACATAAGGCAAGTCTGCATTGAATTTTGCGTAAGGGAATTTTAAGTTCATCAGTAGATTTGTGGTGATAGTAAGGTTTATAATATTGAAATAAGTACTTAAGAGATTTCATGACGATTTCATCAGAAATAAATTAGGAAATAAAATAATCATGATTGTGAACTTTGTAGTTTAGCCTAAAAGCAGTTTTCACTTATTTTCTAAACTTATATCTGAAATGCCATATTTAGTCTTTCTTTGCTCTGCCAAGTATGTCTTGGAAAGTACAAATTGGGAAGGAAGTTTTATAAATCGAAAACTTTATATACCTTCAGAAAAATCTTATTACTGAAGGAAGCTTCAGAAATTGAGGACCTTCTCAATCTTTTGAAAACTCTTGCTGCTGAAGGAAGATGCCATGTAGTAGATGTAGCCAGGTGCTTTATCATCTCCATCAATAAAAGTGTACCTGCACTGGGGTCCTGAGTTATGTGAGCAGCCCGATAAGCTCCTAATAAGGTCTTCTTGATCTTTGGCCGACTGTCTAAAGCCAGAATTATCCCAAATTCCTGTACATAGACTAATGTATTCTTCATTTCCTATGCCCATTTTACCAAAATGTTACTTATTTAAATTATATCTGCAGAACGAAACCTATGCATCTGGTGTCCTGCTCACCAATTTGAACGGAGTAGTAGGTTCTTATTACAGAGCTTTCTTTTTGCTATATAAAAGGCTATTGCAAATCAGATCTCCCGTGTGAAAGCAGAAATCTGGTAGTAAAACAACAGAGGGACTTTTAAATCTTCAAACATGGGACAGAATAAATAACTGATTTAACTGATACTTGGATTGATATATTTTATTTACACTTACCCTATTTACTAGTCTTTTAAAATGCTGTAGTCATTACATATTTTGTGTTGCTATATATTTAAATTTGTTATCGTAACTCTATAGTGAGTATTTTTAAGACACCTTAGGTTCATGATTGTGACATTAGTGCTATCTTTGGCATCATTAATAGGACTCTGAGGTCCACTAATTTAGAATTAACTGCTTTATTCCTGCCAATATCAAGTATAAAAAGGGACATTTTAAGTTTTTTAATGCAACATAAAGATGCTGAACTGATACCACAAGTAGAGTTCGCCAAATAAGTTGCCTTTGGAATAGGTTTTTTTGCTCTTTAAATGTCGTTTAATGTTTCAAGTTTATGTTACACCAGCTAAATGGGTCAGAGATTTTCCATCAATTTTCAAATCAAATATCTCACAGTGGTTAGGTAAAGTGGCTTTGGGCATTGATTTTCTTTTGGTTAAGAGCAAACTAGATTTGGTTTTGGGGGGAGGAGGTAATTTAAATGTGCAAATATTAAATTGTGATAGTTGCACAACTCTGTAAATATACTAAAAAGTGATGAATTGTACACTTAAAATGAGTGAATTTATGGTATGTAAAGTATACCCAAATAAAGCTATTAAACTTTTTATGAAGAACAAATATAATAAAGTTCAAAAGCAAACTAGGTTTACACTTTTATATTGAAATACTAAAGGTACAATTGCCTAGTCTCTACCACATCTCAAATACTGAAACCCCATGAATTTTCACTGTTACACTGTTCACTGTTAGCTTTCTCTTTTAGCATTTTCTACTTACAAAAAGAAAATGTATTTAAAAATGGCAACAAGCTCTGGCGATTTTAAAAGTTTTAATTCATTCTTAACAGAGAAAATTGAGAATATGTTAGTGACTATTGTTTTATTCAATTTTTATAACCAGATCCACCCCCCTACCACCACCACCCACTTGCATCACCAATATTTTTGCTCTTTTTAAGGGAGGAATGATTGAAACTTTGTCTGTGTTCATGACTGTCATGGAAACCTGCAGTGATCCTTGACATTCTCATTCTCCATTAGCCAAACAGCATCTCCTCCCACCTAGTTTATGCTTCAGTCACTTCAATAATCAATTCAAAGGAGGATCTCTGGTTTTATTATCCTCCTCATCAGCAATCCACTGACACCTAGTATGAACACAGAATCTGGATACCAGGGGTTAAGGATACAGAGCAACAATGGAATATAGGCAGCTAGTGTTCGAAAGCAGTGTATGCACGCTGTAATTCCTTTTCTATTAAGTTTGGAGTTTGAAACTCAGGACCCTCCATACCAATATTTTTGGAAGTGGAAATATACTAAAGACCTTCTGTCCTTTGTTCAGGGCAGTAGTAGAGTTTTTGGAGTTAAAGGATATATGCTCCAGCCCCAGTCCTGACACTTATGAGGTATGTGTTCATGGATGAATCACTAAAGTTCTTCATGAGTGGAATGGGGATAAAATAATATCTAGCGTCCTGTATTCTGTTAAATGAGACAATATTAGAGAAAACTTAAAAACTCTTTATTACTGCAAAAATATTATTTCAGTGAGTAGCAGGATGAATGCTGATTAGTCCTCTTTTTATTGAATTTATTGGTGTGGCATTGGTTAACAGAATTATATAATGCAGGTTTCAGGTGCACAATTCTGCAACACATCATTTGTACATTGTATAATTCCTTTTTTATTTAATTCTTTGCATACATGTCAAGGTAAAATATTCTAAAATCTCCATCTATTGCAATGTGGGGGGAAATAACGGAGGCCGAGATAGCTTTGGGCAGTATGGGCATTTTAATGATGTTAATATTTCCTATCCATGATTATGGTTATGCTCCTGCTTATTTGTGTCTTCTTTAATTTCTCTCTTCAGTGTCTTATAATTTCCAAGTACAGGTCTTTTACATCTTTGGTTAAATTTAGTCCTAGGTATTTTATTTTATTTTTTGTGCAGTTGTAAATGGGATTATTTTCTTAGTTTCCCTTTCTGAAATTTCACTATTGAGGTATAAAAGCACACTAACACAGTTCTTTCTACATACTTGCTATACAACACATTATTAATGCCATGGGGGATAGTACTCATGCAAAAGAAAAGTTAAATGACTTTCCAAGAGGGAAAGCATTGAGATATAACTAGAAAGGCATATGACTAGAAAGGGTTTGATATTCTATGACATAATTACTTAATTTTGGACAAGTTATGTTATGTCTTTGAACTTGAATTTTCTTCTGAAATGGCATCATACTACTTGACTCCTTATAGGCTTTTAGCTATGATTTTATTGTCCTTCAAGAAACTGTGAAAATAACTCTGTATTCTTAATTCGACTAATTTCCTTTATGTTTTCAAGTGCCCAGATCTTATTTCACTGTTAAAATTAAGATTTGCTTCAGTATTGCCTTTGCTTAGATTTCTATAATGTTTGTGTAAAGCACTGAATGAAATATAAGTATAGAGTTATGTAACGTACATAGTCAAAATTACTTAAAAACAAGACAGTGCCAGAAGTTGTGTCTATATTTGTCAGAATATCACTACTCATATTTATTAATGTTACTCAACTGACAATTTTTCTCATAAATTAGCTCAGATCATGTTTTCAATGATTTAAAATTGTAGTCCAAGTTATAATAAAATAAATTAACTCCATTTAAGTTTATATGTTTTGATATTTCTTAGGAATGTACAAACTTGATTTATATTTTTAAGGGATTTGATGTTATGAAAAATTATATTACTTGAAAGCATTTACTGATTATTTTGAAAAATGTAGCAGCCTTATAAAGGGAAAAAAATATAAATGCAAGAAAAGCCAACACTACCACCACCAACAAAAATATTTTATAGAAATAGCTTTAGTGCTGTTAAAACATATGTACATAGTCACACTTATGCAGTCTGCAACAGAAAGATCAACTGAATGAGATTCATTTAACAGTAAGCCATTCAAAATATACATTTTTGTTTGTTTCTAGTTATTTTATAAACCTGATGTACCTGAAAGGCAGAACAAGTTCAGTCATGCTAATTCATGCCAAAGGGCATGATATTTTAGAAAATTATTTGCTTTGCTTAGCAAGTAGTTTTAAATTATTTTAGTGAATTTTATTTCTTTAATATTTAAGTATTTTTGTGATGCCATTAATTTAAAATTATGCATGTAGATACATTTACAGTTTTTCTTTAATGGTCATCAGTAACTAAAACATGAAAGAGGACACCCAAAAAGCCACAATTTATTTATAAAAAATTATTTATTCTTACATGTTTAAACTTCAGTCACCTTTAAAGTACTCTACATTTGATGCACTACACTTATCAAGATGTTTTTCCCATGCTCAAAACAGTTTTGAACTCAATTTTGATGCTTCTGCTGTTTTTTGTTTGTTTGTTTGTTTTACCTCTTCCACATGGCAAAACATTTTCCTTCAAAGACTTTTCATCTGGGAAAGCAAATAAAATTCACTTGGGGCCATATTGGATGAATAGGGAGGGTGGGGCATGGATGTTATGCTGTTTTTGGTTAAAAATTATTGAATACTCAGCATGCATGGTATGGGAAGGTGTGCTCCTAAATCACCCATCATGAAATCATGGGCAAATGCATTGAAAAAAACTTCAAAAAATAAGTCACTGAAGCTGAACAAAGCTTCTCACA